CAATCAACAAGTCGGTTAACGAGAGCTTGAGAGAGCTGATAGAAGAGCTGACCCTCGAATCACACACAGAAAAGGAGCTTTCCCCCAAGTCATCCGAGGGGAGTAACTCAGACATGGCTGATCAACAACCGCCTCGTAGCATCCTCCGAGATTTGTCCCAACCCATGATCGGGCCGATCACTTCCTGTATCCGGCTGGAGCAAAACGCCCGAAACTATGAGCTGAAGATGGTCCACTACAATCAGCTCCCATCCTTTCACGGGCTCCCCAACGAAGACCCGCTTCACTTTCTTCGGGAGTTCTACAACGTCCTCCAGACGTTCCCACTACACGGGCTAACCGAAGACCAGCTCAAAATGCGGTGTTTTCCAGAAACCTTGAAGGACCGGGCCAAGGCTTGGTTCATGACTCTTGCCCCAGATTCTCTAACAACTTGGGCCGAGGTCTATGCTAAATTCGTTGGGAAGTACTATTCCCATCAAAAGACCCAAGATGTCCGATCTCAGATAGTCTCTTTCGCTCAGCTGCCAAACGAGCCTCTTCACGAGGCCTGGGAACGTTTCAAGGATCTACAGAGGCAATGCCCTCACCATAACCTCTCCCCTGGGCTGTTAGCGAATTGCTTCTACGACTCCCTTCATCAGAATTTGCAGTACATGGTGGACAACGCAGCTGGAGGGGATATTGGGGGCAGAACAGCTGAAGAAATGATTGCAATCTACGAGACGATGAGTGCCAACTCGTCTCAGAAGAGTATCAGAGGGAAGCGGTCCTCAGTGAATGAGGTTGGCTCAAGTAATAATGCTATGGCCCAGCAGTTAGCCGAGCTCACGGAGCAGATGCGGCTACTAAATGCTCGAAGTTCCTCGCCAATACAGGCTATGGCCGTGAGTGCTTGTGGAGCATGTGGAGTACAGGGGCACAACTCTGAGGTGTGCCCATCAGCTGTCGAGCCAGGCTATGGAAGCCAAACTACCGAGGTGAATGCAATGCAGGGGTACCAAAACCATCCCGGAAATGACCCCTACTCGAACACATACAACCCTGGGTGGCGAAACCACCCTAATTTTTCATGGTCCAACAATCACTATCAGCAACCACCTCAAACCAAGTTTGTCCCTCAGCAGCAGCATCCTAGAGGGATGTTAAGGCTGCCAGCACCAGAAATCGGACCAACCCAGTCGAGCACAGACGACAAGCTGGACAAAATCCTCAATTTTGTCACAAATCATGACGCCTCCATTAAGCGTCTTGAGACACAAGTGGGCCAGCTAGCCACACGGGTAGGGAGCATCGAGTCGGAACTGGATAAAGGGAAGCTACCAAGCCAACCGGAACACGCAAAATCCGTGACGGTGATCATGGACGATAATAAGGGCCCGAGGAAGCAAAATGAGAAAGATAAGGCTCCGAAGATATCGCCTACTGAGCCGACTTTGCATAGATCTCTGAACCCCTACAGACCGAAAATCCCATTCCCGAGCCGACTGTTAGAAGAGAAGGACCGCACCATGATTCGGGACCTTCATGCGATGTCGGCTAAGGCCAATGTAGACTTATCTCCTCCTGATGTGTTGAAGAAGATACCGGCTTACGCGAGATTTTTCAAGAAAGTGGCAGCTAATAAGCAGAAACTCGGAAACGGTGACAAAAAATACTGAGAAATTGCAAAATAATTATGCGATAAATTAAACGACAGACATGCGAAGTAAATTGAGCTACGTGAAAAACAATTATGTGATCAACTACATGCAAAGATAATCGATCAAGTGTGATCTCATTGTGCGATAAACTACTCGACAGATATACAAAGATAATTGAGCAAGTGCGATGTCATTATACGATAAAACATGCGACATGATATGAGATACCACACCGGGTAGAATAAACCCAATAAACTAGCTGTTCGGACCAGGCGAACCAGTTGGTTGAGCAGAAGCACAGGTAGGCCGAACAGAGGTTGAAACTTGGCTACACAACAATGAGGTCTTAGGTCGAGGTCCGAGGAGGACATTGCAGGTTTAAAAGGAAACTGACATGTCGAGTTAGGGCCCTTGGATGGCCTGGTTGAAACTCGACCTGAAGGCGTAACTACTCAATGGATTGACCAGGTGGATATGACGCGCAAAGCTCAACCTACAGAGCACTCTACCTTGAGGTGATTTGGATCAGTCACAACAATTAGACCATCTAATAAGACAGACCAATGGATAAAAAAGAATATTATCAAGATAATTAAGAACCACAAGTGGATAGGGCCATATGACCTAACAGAATTGGGTAGTTAGAGCAGTACGGACGGGCAGTTCCTACAGTTCGTGCTGTCTTGGGCAACAAGGTAACACATCGCTATATAAGAGAGTGAAGTATACCCACTTAAATATTACACTCTTTATAAATTATATACTAGAAGTGCTTACAGTGCTTTGTGTTGTAGCAAATTATGTTATTTATACCGGAGTTAAATCAAAAGATTCAATCTCGGGTCGTATTGCAAGGAAGGTTAGCCGGATTATATTGTACGAATATTCAAACACAAAAGAGAATAAATCCCAAACACTCTAATTCAATTGGTTATCTATAAGTTATATTATTAGAGTGCGCAGCGATGAATATTGATGTACCTTGTTTTAAAAATTAGAATATTGATTTTTGTTCGAGTATTGTGTTTGAAATCCGTTGACACCCCTTTAAAAATGTCATATTTACCTTTTGAAAATCGGGGCGTTACAAAAATTGCCTTATATAAAACTGTAATCCATAGTATGACGAATTTGGTTAAGTTTAAATGTGACTTCTCCCTTTTTCGGTTTGATTTTTGAAGTTTTATTAATAAGCGGGTCAATTTTCCCTTATGGTTTCTTATGCCATAAAGATTAACAAGAATCAGAGTCAATGTTTATCACATGTTGGTGTGTTCTTGCAGAAGTCGATTTTCAGTTATGACCAGTTATGTTCAACTGTTCTCATGTCGCTAAGCAAAGTGACTTGAAAATATTAGTTTGTGATGATGATGGTTTGCCTACAACAATAACAAAAAATGTTGTGTACAAAGAGGTGTTTAATAATACGTAATATTTTTTTATTCCAAGCAGTGTTTTGAGACCCGGACCGGCCCTGTGGGTCGACCCGGGACCCGGTCGACCCGGAGCCGGAACAGGTCCGGGTGGAGTATTTGGACCGGGCAACCAATGACCCGGTCAAACCCGGTCAAAACCTGGCCGACTCGACAGAGACCCGACCGACCCGGGGCATTGACCCGGCCGGGTCAACCCGGTTGACCCGGTCCATATATATTTTTTATATTTTTTTTGTTTTTTAAAAATAAAAATATGTATATATGTTTATATGGTAAATATATATCATGAAATACATATTATTAACACTTTAATATACAAATTTTATACACAAAACATTTAATTTGTTACTTTTATGTATATTTATATAACAACAATACTCTATATATAATTTTAAAAAATTTTAAATTAATTATCCGGTTTAGCAATTGACCCGGTGACCCGACGGTTGAACCGGTGACCCGGTGACCCGAGGACCTGCCCGGGTCGATCACCGGGCCAGGTTTAAAAACTATGATTCCAAGTGATTAATATTTTTTATTCACGAAAATAATAATAAGACTGCAAATACCTTTAAAATTGTTCACCCATGCATTGCATGAGTTCCGTACTAATACACATATAAGGGAACTTAGGGGGTGATTGTTTATGGATTCAACTAGCTTTTATTTGATTTGTTTTTTTAACTATAGTTAATTTTTTTTTTAAAAAAAAAATGGTATGGTTAGTTGTTAGTTGATATATTAAAATAATATTTAAATAAAATAATCAAAGTTGATTTAATTTAAAGTAGGAGAAAAATGATTGGAAATGGTGTTAGTTAAGATTATGTGAGTGGATGAATAGTGAATTAACGTTGATGTGATGTGTAAGAATGATTGGTTGATATTATTTAATTATATTGATAATATTGAAGATAGTGAAGTTGGAATAAAATTGAGTTAAATTTGAGTTTTGATTGTTTTTTTTTTTTGTTAATGATAATCAATCACTCCCTTAATAACTAGTTAATATTCCCTTTATTTTGCCTTGCTTCTTTAGTAAGTGACCTACACGAGAATATCATAAAAATAAATAGGATTATTTGAATAATGTCAGTTCAAAAATCTAACACATGCTCTATATATCCAATTACTTTTAAGACCTTGATGTACCTACACGGTGTTTTCCTATGGCACATGGCTCTTTCAGTGGACCTAAAGGTACAAGTTTTATTAGTATCACCAAATAGAAAGCATTTTCATTTATGACACCGATTGTACTCTCCAAATATGCAAGTCCAACAATGAATAATAAGCATTAAAATGTACATAATTGATCTCTCAGATTTGGAACATCTTCATTTGTTGCTCATTAAGACAACCGCAACTTTTTTTTTCACAAACAAATATGCCCAATAATAATTTCGTAATCAGTTAATTACCCATTTGTAAATATTTAAAGTTTAATGTTATTATGTTTCGTTTGGGAAAAATAAAAAGTCCAGATAATAATTTGTATATATTGTATTTTCAACAATATAATTAATTTAATTATTCTCATTTTGTTCTTAGAAAGCAACACATGCTATAATTTTATTATTTTATGCAACATTGAGAAATTTATCAACTGCCAAAATACAGTCAATGAGCATTAAATTCAAAGCAGAGGAGTAAATACTAAATAGCAGTGAGAAAGTACAGCTTGCAATGAAGTTTGTACCTTCCACATAATTTTACCTGTCAACGACAAGTTTGGTATTGTGGAATAATGAATGAACTAAAGTGAAACACAGCCACCTCAAACAACTTTTCTCCCCAGGAATTCTGCTTTTCACTCTCTCACAAATAGCACACAGTAAGAGTGAGAGTGTGTGTGATATGTGGGTATAGTCTTGTGTCCACACATAATAAAAACAAATAAATCATGCAAATGGCTACGATGAATAAAAGCAAATGAAGGGGGAGAGTTCAGAGGGGTGTGTGTGTTTGTGTGTGTTGGGGTGTAAATTTGAGCTACTAAAATTGCAAATAAATCTGGAAAAAAAAAAAATGAGGTGTTGATCAACCCACAAAACTCTCATCTACCTTGCCTCTTCTAATTGCCATCTAACCCTTCTAAATTGGATTTTTATTTGTTATTTTTGTTAATTTTTTGTTTAAAAAATTTGCATTTTTTTGCTTGTACATTTCTCTCTCTTTATCTAGAATTTCACTCACTCTCTATCTCTCTCTCATCTATCTTTTTCTCTGTGTGTGAACAGGCGGATCTTGGTGTCATTTTCATCTAATTCTCCGCTGATCAAACAATAGGGTTTCCTGGTTTTTCTTTTTATTTTTCAGCTAAAATTGCTTTCTTTCATCTGAAAAAATAAAAAAGATTTGAACTTTCTTGGCTTTTCAATTCTCGTTTGTTTTGATCTTTGTCCGGCCCTCAACAGAATTTCAGCCTGTGTTGTTCGTTTTTTGTGTTGTGAGCATAATTGGAAACCAGATTTGAGCTTTCAGAGCTTTCAGAGGTTGTTGGTCTCAATTTTCATTTTGTTCAGATTGAGGAAATCAACATTTATAGATATAAAATAAATCGGGCTCTTGGATATTATATTTGTAAGCTTTTCAGGGACTGGTTCAATTTTAGCCCAAGTTGATTTGAAGTCTTCGGTCTAAAAAAGGTACTGAATTTGCATGAGAAAACTCGTGTTCATTTGAGCTCATACATAATGTTTCCGTTTGGTTTCGATTAATTTTGTATGCATGTCTCTGTTTTGTGAACAAATGCTGTTCTCTTGATGAATGCAGATGGAATTTTATGTTTACTTACAACCATTAGATAATTGGACACATTTACTTTATATATTTTAATAAAGTTGGGATCTTGGGTAGACGTGATCTTAAATTGTTATCCAGTTATTTATATGTTCTTTATGATACTAGATTAAGTCTGTATCTTTAGAGAGACTTCATTGCTCATAGTTTTTGAATCATTGCACAATATCATTTTTCCTGTTTGTTCTACAGTGGGCTTTAATTCTGTGCGCATGAAGTTTTTGCCTTTGCTTTTCTGATGTTCCCAAGTAATGGATTAGTGTTCTTCACTGTTATCAGTAGATAATTGTTAAAGACAGTTTTGCTTTTAATTTGTTGACTAAATTATGTGAGGGCATTTTTCTGCATGCATGTAGTCTTTGATAGATCATATCTAATCTTGACTACAGATTGAGCAATTTGTCGTCATTGCAGCAGTGCAAAATTATTTATAGATTTAACTAATGCGAAATCACTTGGGTTTTAACATTTGGTCAATACGTCTATTCGAGTGAATGTTCGCGATTATTGTATTCATGCATCCTCATAATTGCTGATCTAGTATTTGTGTCTTGTTCGGTAATTAGAATCTTCGTTTTTGTCGTTTCCTTTATGAATTGTGTAAGTTATCGGGTGTTATTTGTCAGAAGTGTTCTGTTTTCACATTGGTGGCTTTCAACGGCCACTTGGGCTTTTTTACTCTGCANTGAGTTAAATATATTGCTTGTAAGTTTTCTTTTGAATTGTAGTTTTGATGACGTGATATGCAGAGTGGTTTGGGCAGTTTATGGAAGAATGCAATTGGTCTGTTAATACCATCAAAATTTTGTCGGTTGTCGGCATAAGTTTATTCCGAATAAAGTCCTCATCGTCATCAATTATTGTCCCTATCTCAAAGTTTTCCTTTGTTTCCTCATTTCAACTATTACTTCCCCAAAGAAAAATGCAATGACCATGCATTTTGTCGCTTTTGCTCTCTATAACTCCATAAATGGTGTTCATAGTTGATATTTCTTCTCATATTTTATTCTCTTCCATTCTTTTTCTTCTTTCAGATTTTGACGAATTAGGAGATGAGTATGACAAGCGAAAGTGACGAGAAGTTGATGCCGACCAACGGCGTGGATTCACCATCCACCGACGAAACCAACAGCGGAGGGGCAAATACAGGAAATCACGGCCAGCTTAAAAAGGGCCCGTGGACCTCTGCAGAGGACGCAGTTCTAATAGAATACGTCACAAAGCATGGGGAAGGCAACTGGAATGCAGTCCAAAAGAATTCGGGCCTGTCGAGATGTGGGAAAAGCTGCCGCCTGAGATGGGCCAATCACTTGAGACCAGATTTAAAGAAAGGGGCTTTTACCCCCGAGGAGGAGCGTCGTATAATCGAGCTTCACGCGAAGATGGGGAATAAATGGGCCCGAATGGCCGCTGAGGTGTGCATTCTGTTGTAAATATCTTTTCCCTGGTTAATGCAATACTTGATCTCTGCACATGTGCATTTAGGAACTTTATTTTTTCTTGCATGTAAGTCTGTGTGTATAGTGTAGGCACTCGTGAGTGTGCATGCTTATCAGTTAAAGTGTGTAGCCCGTGTCTGATGTTTAGCGGAAAATGATTCTGAAGGTCAACTTTTCTCCTGACAACCCATAGGTCTATGTCTCTAAACTCTGAAGAACTTCTGATTGATATGTAATCTACATCTACATTCCTAAAAATGTTTAAGTAGATGAATTTGACGTAGGTATTTGGAATTGAAATAAATAAACATTCAATACAAGCATTACCCCGTCTTGGTAAGGTAGAAAAGAATGGTTACTTGTGAACTCTATGCAAGAAAATCCTATCCCACTTGAACTTGAACTTCTTTTCTGTATAGTTGTGTCTCATCAGTGATAACAATTTCTACTTGGTTTAACCACTTGAGTGAGTTTTACACAAGTACATTAAATTTTTTGGGTTATGAATTGCTAAAAGCATGATGTTTATGTTTTTTTTTTGTCTTTTTTCCCATTTACTTTCAATTAGTTACCGGGCCGCACGGACAACGAGATAAAGAACTTCTGGAACACCCGAATCAAACGGAGGCAACGTGCCGGCCTACCCATCTACCCTCCCGACATCTCCCTCGACTCCCTTCCCAACGAAAACGCAGACGAGCCTCCAGCCGCCGACGGGCCCCACCACCACCCAGACTACCTCCCCGTGAGCACCTTGATCAACATACCATCCGTCGAGTTCAAGGGCCTCGAGCTCGGCCGCCAGCACTACCTCTACCATCATCATCATCATCATCATCATCATCCATCTCTCGACATCGCCATGCCCTTCCTCGAGCCCATGTCTTTCCACCACCCCTTCAAACGGCCCCGTGGCCCCGAACCCCTCTTCCCTCCTCCCTTGTACCACCACCACAACTCTTCCTCCTTCGTTTTTCCCCAATACGAACAAAACTCGACTCTTCACAACGTCGAGCTCCCTTCACTCCAAACCCACGGGCCCGACCCCCCGTTGCCCTTCTTCGAGCCGACGCCCGACAACGTCCTCATCCAAGATGGGCCCGGGCTTGGGCCCGCGTCCACCAATGGCCTCCTCGAGGATGTCCTCTATGGCTCCGAGGCCTTGAGGACCAAACCCACCTTCTTCGGGCATAGCCTCGAGTCGGGTGGAACCCACTGGGAGGGCTATGATGAGCAGCTCTCGCCCCCACTCGGCCAATCCCCTTCGTCCGTCTTCAGCGAGACCACCGGGCCCACTTCCCTAGATGAGACCGACTTGCCAGGTCTGTTTATCTTTGCATGTTTACAAAAATTTTCACTGAAATTGGAATTTTTTAATTGGAATTTTTTGGTTAACTGGAGTTAATTTTTTTTTTTTTTCTAAGAAAGAAGAAGATGATATGGTTAGTTGTTGGTGGGATTTTGGATTTATATTGAAATAATATTTAAATAAGATAGTTAAAGTTGATCTAGTAAAAAGTAGGAGAGAAGGAGAGAGATGATATGAAGTGATGGTTAGTTAAAATTATGTGAGTGGATGAATAGTAAATTAAAGTAGATGTGATGTGTAAGAATGATTGGATGGTATTATTTAATTACATTGATAATATTGAGGATGTTGGAGTTGAGTTGAATTTTGAGTTGAATGAAATTTTGAGGGAAAATTTTTGTGTACAAACATGCTAATGAAATTTTCTTTATTGTTATGATCTGAAGTTAAAGAGGTAGCAAGCAATCTGGGCCCGGTTCAATACGAGGTAAAAGTTGAGGAAGCGAACCCGATGATCTTCTCGAGGCCCGATTATTTGCTGGGCTCGAGCTGTTTGGGTCCACCGATGAAATGCCCCACCACTAACGAACATTCCTTGCTGGAAAATGCGATGGGGAAACTTCTTGGCGATGATTTGAGCAAAGACTGCAAGCAAATGGACACGGGCTCGAGTACGTCGGCCCAAGGACGAGGCTGTAATTCTTGCGCGTGGAATCCTATGCCGACTGTCTAAGTCGGATTTATTGTCGGTTGACCATCAAGAAGAGGAAAAGAAGAATATCCAAGTGTTTGTTTGGTGGGTTCTTTTTGTTATGTCTTTTATGATGTGTACTGAAAGTTTGTAGGGTGAATGTAGTTGCATTGATCAGAAACATCATTGTGTGATGTTTATGAGGCGTTTTTACCTCCTGATCTTTTATTTGTTATTGACGGATTTCTATGTAGTTTTCATGTGAGAGTTGTATGTGGAACTTTTTGTTCCTGCACTTTGTGATGTTTGACTCTTGAGTTTCAGCTTTTATCAACAATGTTGAAGTTATTTTTGATGCATGGTGTTGCCAACCATTGGTAATAGTGCAATTCAGCAATTCTTTTTACTATGACAAGTCAGTTAATAATTTCTAACGGCACATTAAATATACGATCACCAACGGGTTAACTAAAACTCCAAAAACTGATCTTCCACCATATATACTCTCCCAACTGAATCAAAAGAGTAGTAAAAAAATTAAAATTATTTACATGCCTATTATATTATATAGGCTCAATCATCAAATCAAAAGAGTAGAGCAGCTAGTAATAATTAATTTAGTTGGAGATGGTGAAGAAGTGGATGGGATCAAATGCAGACATTTGGTGTGGCCAAGGGGAAAAAAGTCAATGCGCTCCCCAGGCAAGATACTCTTGCTGAGTTCCCCATGCTCTCTATAGCGGGCAACATCACAGTGGTGTAGACCCATTACAAGTTTAGGTTCCCGGGTTCTTCTCCTTATCCCTGCCGTCAAAATGCAAAACGTGTACTTGCCCTGCAGCTTATTGCCATTGAGAAGCCACACAGAATGAGGAGGTGCCCCTGGCCCCAGCAAAAGGTTGACCAAAGATTCTTCATCTCTCCTCCTCCTCCTCCTCAGATCGTAAATGTGATGTGGCGTCACGCACAGCGTTTCCTCAATCACATGAAAACGGCCGAAGCTCGTCCGCATGAGAAGCGAGCGGGCCCCAAACCCTAGCAATAGTGTCGAGATGGAGACAGAAGATGGTCCTTTTGCTGCTGTTTGAGTTTCCCTTGGCCGTCTGTATGAAGAAACAAGTGTCATCCACAAAAGCATAGTCCGTGATGTAGGCCAAGCAATGGCCCACATCAAAGCAATTGTCGAGCAGAAGCCAGGTGTCAGTTGAGGGATGGTAGAGCTCGAAATTGGTGCCTCCGGCTAACCCTGTGTCTTGGTCGAATTTGATGAGTTTGGAGAAAACGAGGGCATCGGGTGTGGTGGAGGTGCTTTGCAGCTCACGGGGGTGAGGTCGGTAATCCCCAGCTCCACGGTGGGCAGCCCAGAGGCGAGGACAGGTCAAGCCTGTATGCTGAGGTGGAGGGTTTCTTGTCAAACAGATAGAGAGTGGAACCCAGACCACAGAAAGCAAAACAGGTTTCACTGCGTATGGCGGTTTTGAGGCGGACGGCAGGCCTGATAGTGATAGTGTTGGTGTTGGGGGATGATGATGATGATGATGATGTTGGTGCAATTACAATGTCGTAGCCGTTGGACGTTGCATCGGTGAACTTGATTTGGGGATCTGATAATTTCTTACGCTTGTATTGGGGCTCTGGCGGCTCGTAGTCAATATCCATCATCTGATTGTTAGTTCCGAGAGCAATTTTAGACTTTTGAACAACGGTAGAGGGATACTAAAGCTGCTGGAGCGGCTGCCTTCGGTGATTCCCCACAGACGGAATCGGGATATCGCTACTTCCCCCGATATATTGAAAAACCTAAGCGGTGAATTAAATTTGAAATAGAAACTATCTTTACAGCAGAGAGAGAGTATATACGAAGTAAGGATCCCAACATATAACCTATCCCCAAGTGAGTTAGGCCTAGGCCTTTACTCACCTTGCTTATCAAGTGAAATCCTAAAAATTAAATTAGTTATAAAAATTTCTTTGATTTGATTCTCCCAAAATCTTGATTCCTTTGTTGTTATGATCTGAAGTTAAAGAGGCGGCAAGCAATCTGGGCCCAGTCTAATAGGAGGAAAAAGTTGAGGAAGCAAACCCGATGATCTTCTCGAGGCCCGATTATTTGCTGGGATCGAGCTGTTTGGGTCCATCGATGAAATACCCCACCACTAACGACCATTCCTTGCTGGAAATGCGATGAGGAAACTTGGCGATGATTAGAGCAAAGGCGGGGGCTTTGTTTAAATGGGACAGTCAAACCCTTTCAACATTTTTTTTGTTTAAGTAACCTCTTCTTTAAATAAAGTTAAATAAATATTGACAATACCTATGTAACGCCCCACTTTTATTTGTCGAAAATCAGAATAAATTTTTCAAAATTTATTTCAAAACACTTGAGGCGCTACTCATTTAAAAAAAAAAAAACAATTTTAACAATATCATAAATGCAACTCCCAAACGAGTTCAATAATCATAAATAGTCAACACCCAACCGGGTTCATAAATGACATCAACTCCCAAACTGGGTTCATCAAATCCATGAATACTAGGGAGTACATTCCCTATCAATAATCCAGTACTCAACATAAATTCGGAATGCATAAATCATACTACTCAGTTTTAATAAGCGGAAATATTCAATAATAATATGACCACCACTCGCCTCCTTCTGTCGTGCCCGCACTTACTAACCTGCATCAATGAAGAGCAGGTGGGGATGAGCACAATAGAAAATCGAGGTGCTCACCACTATGCAATAAACATTTACATATCAAACGGTAACAGAGAAAGTACGATCACAGCATGTATATGAATCAATTCAAGTATCCCAAGTTTCATCGTAAATCCACAGTGTTTAGACTCATGTGCACATCTATACCAATAGACTACTGCCGGTAGATGTATCGAAGGCCCTCGCTCGGGTCATGCTTCGAATGCCCCATGGGCTCTACATCTATGCCCTCCGGTCCTACACATCGAATCACCCCACGGGCTTCCATCGATGCCCGGTCAGTAGGAGTAACCCCTCGGGTTTTCATTTCATAAATACGGGACAACCGTTCGACGGCCGGTACAGCTCACATCGAAGGCTACATGATTCGTAAGCACGCATTGATCATATTCAAGTAAAGCAAATCATTTATTGCATAGACATTTTTTTAAATAAAACCCACCTGGTAATTGTAGTAGAAAATTTCACACAAAAGCGACTACGTAGGTCGAGGGCTCGACTCCTCAAACACCTACATTGAATCAAGATAATCTCATAAATATATTATCTTGACATTTGCAATCATTAAAGACTCACACTTAATCAAATATAATGATTAAGGGATTTTATCGGAATTTATCGTGGATTTGGAACTCTCAAATTTTTAAAAGAAAAGACTCGATGACCAAAAGTAGAGTCTCGGGACTTAAAATTATTTTTCCCAAATTTTCCATTTGAAAATATATTTTATTTTATTTATTATTATTATTATTATTATTATTTTTAAATTGAAATCGGGACGAAAAACGGACTTCCGGAATTCAAAATAGGCCAAAAAGGCTAACTGGACTGAGCTGCCAAAGACTGGCCCAATCTGCCCCGAAACTGGGCCTCGCAGACGCAATTGGGCCGGTCAAAACGAGGTCTGCTAACAGGTTGGACTCGCGGGCTGGGGTTCGGGTTCGCGGCCATGACTGCTGAGACGAAATCGGGCCGCTCGCGGGCTGGAGCGGGCTGGACGCGGCCCGCGCAGTTCTGGGGAAAATAGGGAACAAAAAGAGAAATGGCTACAAGGCCTGGGTTCGAACACAGTGCCTCTGTCACGAAAGCAGCGTACAACACCACTGCACCACCTGACGGCTTGTGAACTTAAATGAGAACTAATAGCTACTACTAAAATAAACCGGGCCTCATATAGAAAAACGAATTGCGAACAGATACTGGAAACTGCAAAACAGGGACTAAAAGAACAAGAACAGAGGCTGTGGGAAAATTACAGAGGTGCTACAAACTTCGACTGAATTCGACGACGACATATCCAACGACAACCGGGGTTCGAGAACTCACTAAAATTCACGAAAATCACAATTCACAGAATTCAAAAATATTTACAAAAAATCGAGATTAAAAGAGTTGAATAACGGAACAACATACTAGGCTCGAACGACACATACACGAACGAGACGAAAAAAAAAAAAAAACACAACGAGACTCCGAATCTTATATGAATAATCACAGCGAGAATTCAGTTTTCGAAAACAAGAGTTCCACTCATCCACGATAAGATTCACATAATCTCGAACGTACAAAATGAACCGATACATAAACCGACCAATCCACGAGTATCGATTTAACGAGAGAAAATTCCAGCAACATGATAAACGATTACGAACAAAATAACGAGAAGGTTCCGAAAGATTTACCCGTCTTCGGGAAATACGAGCTATCGGAAAAACCGGGTTGGACGAACGGGAATCGAACGGAAATTCGAAACGCCTCGAAAGTGCTGCTCGCGAACTCGACGACGCACTGAGACTGAGACTTGGTGACGAACGGCGGCCAGAGGTGGGAGGTTTCGCCGGAATTAATGGTGGACGGAGATTTTGCTCGGAACTCGGAGGGGACGCCGGCTGAAATTCCTCGGCAAGATACGACTCTCACTGAGGGGTTCGTGAAACACGGTTGCTGGTCTGCGGCTGTTCTCAGAGGAGGTCGCCGGTCATGGAATTGGACGAGGCAGCTTCACGTCGCCGGAAACAAAGGCAGAAGAATGTCTTCCTTTTTTTTTTTTTTTTTGAACAAATATAGATGTTAAAAGCTAAGTAAATTATAATTTGCAAACATTCATCACTTTATTTTAAATTTAAATAAAACAAAATGAAACCTATATCATTGAACACCGGAATTAATACATTATTTTTTTTGTCTTCCAATGTTTAAGTTAATAATATAACCACACAGAACTAACTGTAGGATTTTGTAATAATTAAAATTTTCGAACAACAAATACAATATATAAAATAAATTATTTAGAAATTAATAGTAAATATTAGAGCCCCATACATAAAAAATAACATTATTTCGTTATATTGTAATTTTTTTCACGGCAGAGTTGGTTATGAAACGTAATAATGGAATAAATAATATCAACACCTCACATTATTAAATAATTATAAGAAATAACATATTCAAGCAAATAATCTATACATAATAAAAAGAGCAGTTGGGGTACATAACACTAGCATTATAATTTATTTTTTAAATAATTATAACATAATAGAATTTAAAACGTTTTTTTATCATCAAACTGGTAAGAGTTTGTGATTGATAGAGTCAACAACAAAACAACTCTTTGTGGTTATCTAAACAACTGATATAATACTAACACATGTTACATACACATATATCGGTATAAAGAGATAAGACAGTTTTTCATTATGTTTCGTACGCCATGACTATAAACAAGAGTTAGGGACAAATCCTTATCTAATGTTGGCTTATTTCTTAATAAACCAGTGTTCGGACATGACCAATTATACGCTGTCTCCCAGTGTCACTAGCCGAAAAGGTTTGAAAATCTTATTTTGTGGGAAAGAGCCAAAGAATCAAACCAATAATGTTGTAAATAAGGAAGTGTTCAATAATATATAAATTTTTCA